TACTATGAACATGGTTGAACAGATGTCCTTGTTATATGAATGTGCTTCTTTCGGGTATATGCCTAGGATTGGAATTGCTGGAGAGTGTTTTCTTAATTGAGGGTATATCTTCCCAAATGACTCTAGGCTATCTCAAGTTTACATAAAACTAGTTAGTAATATAGTATACTAGAAACCCAATAAGAAATGTAAGTTTTTAAAGTAAGAGTATTTATAAAAAAAAAAGAAGAAAAAGGTAAAATAATAAACCTGAGAAATGAATACTATCTTATTTGTTTACTTAAAACTCATGGGTTATTACCAAGTGGTGAGTGGCATGTTGGGCTCTGGTTCCCATTTTAAATCTCTGCAGACCTTCCCCACAACTCCCAAACATGATGAACAAGTGGTTGAGAATTTGATGAGATAGGCCATCATTCAGAAATCATGATTTGTTATAAGCCTAAACAAGATGACTCCTAGGTCCCCACTCTGCAAAATGACTTCAAAGTGATCCTTTTACTGCACGAAATTATTAGACTGATATTTACAATTGTATGATTCAAATTCTTATAAGTATACGGAAGTAGCAGTACAGGTTAAGTAAATGCACTAGTGGTAGAAACCAGAGTGTCCATTCACTGGATCTGTACTGGAATCCACCCTTGTAAAGCTCCACTTCTAGCAGAGGGAAAGGAAATCCAGGGGTGGCCTGCTCCCTAAGGAAACTCACAGTCAGTAGGGGCAAGATGATACTGTGCCCATCACTAGGAAGGGAGGGGTAAGAAGTGATGCTGTGCTCATCACTAAATAAAAAGAGAAAAATGGGTTTTTATATTTGTTAAGCTTTAAATCAGATACCTGTTTATCTATCTCTATGTCGTGATATGGTTATTGAATGAGACTACAAGAAGTCTGTAGAAATATGTCCATGGAATGATGGGCAATGACCTGAGCAGAAAACTCCAAGGGAAGAAATGTAAATTCCCATTAGACGTGTGGGGGGAATCCAAAAGGCTTTAGTCTTATAATACTCAGCCTAACAAAATGACAATAATTGCAGAAGCAGTTTTTCATTCTTAGCGTTTAGTATTTCCAATTTTATGTTTTTTTTTTTGTGTGTGTGTGTGTTTCTCTTGCACTTTTTTAAAATTCTGGTTCATTTGTTAATAGTTGGCCTGTTTTCTAAAGAGAGAGAGAGAGCTTGGAGTTGGATAGGTGTGGAAGTGGGGAGGATAAGGGAGGAAATGGAGGAGGGGAACAGCAATCAGAATATATTGTATGAAATTTTTTGTTTTACATTATTTTTTAAAGTAGAATATTTATAAAAGAAAAAAGAAGTAAAAATAACAACTGTCAAATTTAATAAACTCTCACGGAAGAAACATGTCTATAAAGACATGATTTTATGTCTTAATTTTATGTATGATTTTAGTTTGGTACAAACTTTCTGGTAAGAAATTTAATAATATTACAAAACAACAAAAAGTATACTTTTTGGAATCCTTATTGGGAATTTTAACAGAAACCTTTAAAGTATCAGATATTTATACTAACAAAACTCAGAAGCCATCTTCCAAATGAACAGCAGAATTGCAATGAAGACATCATTGACATATTTTTGTTGCTGGTAAAAGTTCTCACTTGGTGCTGGGAATGTAGTTTAGTTGGTCTAGGGATTGCCTAGCATGCACAAAGTCCTGGGTTTGATCCCAACACAGTATCAACCTTGGTCCGGCACACCTGTCATCCCAGACTTGGAGAGATAGAATCAGGAGAGGCAGAAGTTCATTGTTAGTTGCATAGCTAATTCAGGGTCAGCCTAGTTCCCTATTCTGGGTTTTAATTAAACTTGACAGGTTAATATAAAACCAAAATTAGTAGTTTAATTTTCACATTTATTGGGTTTACTAATCCAATCCTCTCAAACACTGTCTAGGCAATTAATCTTTAAATCTTATAATAACCCATGAGAGCAGATTTGCCTTTAACTTTTGAACCCAGTGTGCATCTGTGTCACTAAGGTAGCCCTTCTCCTTGAAAACAAACAAAGAAACAAAAATAACAATAACAAAAAATATGTGCAGTATGTTTACTTTGTGAAATTTCTCTTTGGTTTCAGCTCTATGATGGACCACAAAGGATAGGACGATACTGTGGAGAAGGTATTCCCCCATCAGGGGCCACCACAGGCTCCAAGCTTCATGTGCTGTTCTATACAGATGGGGTTATTACACCGAACGAAGGATTTAAGATGCAGTGGTTTGTTCATGGTAAGTTGTGTGCTGATCTTGGTTGTATTAATAACTGTTATTTGGCCAAGAACTGTTTCCTTATCAATTCTATCCTTGGAAACAGTAGCATCAACAAATAATGAAAGCGACGTAGTAGCTAGAGCTAGGATTAAGATAACTTATTGAGATATTTGTGGAATATGAGGAGTTAAATTTTTGCTAGGGTTCTGAGAAGAAATGGTTAACATAGAAGCGATTCTGACAACTGCTTGAGCAGGTGGTATAACAATCTGCCTTAGAACAGACACATTACAAAGTGGCATGGAAGTCCCCCAGGTGCAGTAGACAAAAAAGAAACCTAAGGCTCACCTTAACATTTGTCAGAGATAGAATGATCAGTATACTGTAACGAATGGGAGTCAGAACAATCAGAAAAGGAAAAAAGGAAGGGCTGGGATGAGAGGAACAGCAGATAACTGAGCTGGATGTAAGAGTCCAGGCTCATGCCTTGTTCTGCTAAATGGAGTAGGGATACACTGAAGCCCACCTGCAAACAAGTGGTTGAGGAAGCAGGCAGAGATAATTGCTTCTTTAAAAGTCATTATTAACAAGACAGATGAGTCTTGAAACTTGATCTCCTGTGAGTCAGATGGATGGTCCCAGAGCAATGATTTCAAAACGTGGTTCCCAGTAACAGTAGCAGAGCAAGGAACTTTACAGAAATGCAAATTCTTAGCCCCTCCCCTAGACCGACTGGATCATAAACTGAAACTCGGCCCAGAACAGTATCTTAATTGATCTTCCTGGTGATTAAGATTTAAAAGCTATTGAGCTAGGATAATCCAACTTCCCAAAGAGCATCAGAGCAGTAATTTCCAATCATTTAACCATGGTGTTAGGACTCATGGTCAATTTCAGTAAATTGAAGAGATATAGAACTACAATGCTACACCAGAAGTCTAGCAGATGCCTAAACTCTAATCCTTCTGTTAAAATCAGTGGAAAGGACCAGTGAGATGTCTTAGTTGGTAAAGTGCTTATCTCACAAGTATGAGAATGTAGTTAAATCCCTGAACCCAAGCCAAACACAATAGCATGCTTTTGTAATCCCAGTGATGAAAAGATAGGAGGTGAGGATGAGCAGAACCTTGGAGCTCACTGACCAGCTAGCCTAGCCTACTTGGCAGAATTCTAGATTGATGAGAGACCTTGTCTCAAACAAAAGGTTGGAAGTCCCTAAGGACCAAATTCTCACTTTAGTATTGTACTCAGACCTCTACCGGCATGTGTATACAGTATACATCCCTGGCATGAGCGTGCATAAGTAAATGCACACATAAACAAATAGACAGAAAGAGAGAGAGAGAGAGAGAGAGAGAGAGAGAGAGATGAGAGAGATGAGAGAGATGGGGGAAAGGGGGAGGGGGAGAGAGGAAAGAGAAGAGAGAGGGAGAGAGAGAGAAAGGGAGGCAGAGAGAGTTGGGGGCAGTGCTTTTGCTAGCTGATCTCTTTATTCAAGAGGCTGCTGGCCCTCCCCTGCAGGCTCTAGTCACACTGGCTAGAGGCCACCCTAAAGTGTGTGATGGGATGGATGGTCGTTACCAGCTACACCCAGCTTACTGTATCAGTGGGTTCTTCTAACCAACATGCCAAGTCCTATGCTGAAAACTCTACCGTTTTGTTGAGCCAAGATTTTTCTTTCACTTCTATTTGAAATCTGTCTGTTTTTAAGAGAGTCAAAGACACCCTCTGTCTATTCTCTTTTCCTGTTTACTATTGCAAAAAAATTTCCCCATTTGCTGAAAATTGGCTAAACTCAGAGCCAGAGTTATGCAACAGTATGTTACTAGTTAGGACCAAAACTTGGGGAAAAAATTAACTCTGTACTGCCCACTATATATAAATGGGAGTTGACAATAATCTTTTGGAAGGAGACTGTCAACAGTTTAAATCAACACAAAATTAATTGAAGTCACATGTTATCATGATGCCATACTTGTATGTCTTATGTCCTGTATCTGAACCATGTAATTTGACATGGCTTGAGAGGAGGAGTCAACAGAGTAAGTCAGGCAGGAGGCCTTCACTGGAAGTGATACCCTGATTATCTATTAGATTAAACCTAAAGACAAAAATTGCAAACTGTTGTTCTTCCATTTATTAAAGCTATGGGTATTGGGGGATGTTTTCATACCAGATACCATGCTATGACTAGGGACACAGATCTATGTGCACACACTGAAATTGTTCAGTTCCCAACACCATTACAAGAAAGGGAAAATATTAAGCATGCAAATGAATATGCACACTTAAATCTGGCAAAGGTTGAGGGAACACATAGGAGATTGGATGCTATTAGGACAGGCAGGCAGGCAGGCAAGTCTTCTATGAAATTGCAACCTCTGAACTAAAACCTGAAAAATAAGCAGATGCTATCTGGCCAAATAGGGAAGAGAAAGGAATGACCCAGTGATACAAGGATGCAGGGGGAGCAAGATGGTCACAGGTGGTTAGAATCAAAGTCAAACACTAGAGGAGGCTAGAAAGCTGAGCAGTGGCTACCACAAGCTGGACCTATAAGGCACAAACTCAAACCATAGGGGCCACAGTGTCTTCCAACATGCCAATATTTTATTCTTCATAAAAACAGATCTGGGATAGAATCCCCAAGGACAGAGAAGCATGACAAATTGTGGAACTTACAAAATGCAATACAATACAAAATGCAAACTAAACATAGTCACCATCACTAAACAACAAGGGCATGTTTCAAGCACTACAATGCTAGTCCATTTCATCATGGGGAGCATCACAGTGTAGTGCTCTCTCTCTCTCTCTCTCTCTCTCTCTCTCTCTCTCTCTCTCTCTCTCTGTCACACACACACACACACACACACACACTGAAAATGCTACAATGTCACCTGGTGACATAATCTGTGGGGCTACCCAGGTTTGTGCTGCCCATCCTTGACTGAAATTCATCCTGCAGCATCTAACTCTCAGTCTTTGCATGCAACACTGATACTCTTATATGTGTTTGTGTGTGCATGAATGCATATAACACATCAGCATACAAAAATCAAAGACAATTCTGCATTGTCCCTCTGGGCTTGTGCTTAGAGTTAGAGTTCAAGATCCCTAGCATGACCTGGCCCTAAGCATCTCTTCCTCACCTGGCCAGGATGGGTGATGTTAAAGTTCTCTCCTCTTTCCATTAGAATCAAGACACAGGAAGCCCTTTCCCCACTGACTCCAATCCAGACTATGCTATAAGAGCTCTCAACAAAGCTTGCAGAGCCCAGCATTGACAATGACATCATTTCCTGAATACTGTGGCTCAGGAACCCTACACACTTCATTCATTTTGCTCAGTAATAAATAAATCCGTTTACCCAGGATTCCTTTTCGTCAACAGCACAAATCTTCTATTTACTTTAAGAAAATGGATCTACAAGCGCGCTTTCTCTGTGGGTGCATTTTGAAAGTGCCTCTGTGGTTGCATGATAAAGCCCACACTGCAGTGCCTTTTATGCAGATCTTCAAAGAGAATCCCACCCTAAAAATAAAGAAATGGCCACGGCCGCCCTGCCTGGCTAATCGGTTCTCAGAATGCAGCATTGACAGCATTGTTCAGAAGCTGAATTCCATCCTGGGAGCCTCGGTCTGGGATGCTGAAGGGTGTATAGAACTTCCCATAAGTTGTGTGAATAGGCGCTCCCAGCCAGCTGCACACACCCCTCCGCTCTTTCCCTGCCGGCTCCCGGAGACCCCTTCTCACTTGGCAGCATACAAACAAGGTCAAGGAGCTTTGTGCACAGAGAGTGACATTTGTAAAGGCTGCAGGCACTTCTGCTAGGGAGCCAGCAGGGGAAGAGCTAAGTGCCATGTGAGCAGGAGGTGATGTCACCATGTCACCATGGACTTCCACAAAGGAAAGTGTGGCCTTTTCTTTGGGGAGAGAGATGACATCATCCTCTCAGATGGGGGCCACTCCATTCTATTTTCTTTTTAGTTGTTAATGAGATTTCTGGGACCCAAGAGTTTTCAGAAATTGGTTTGGGGGAACATTTTAAAACATTTTTCAAGACTCTCCATTGGTTAACTGTAAATTCAACCCCTGCACCAAGGGCTTCTCCAAAGTTTACTTTCTGAATGCTAGCCAGGAACCCCCATAGGGTAGGCCATGATTCTTTTCAAACCTCATTCCAACTCTTGGTCAATAGCTTGTGGCTATTTCTGGTCTCTCAGGGGGAATTCCTTCTAATTTGACACTTTTATTTGTTTTGGTGACTTGGAATTGTGAGCTGGTCTTCTGGGAGCACTCAAGTTTTAACTGTTGTGATTCTGTTATTTTTTTCTTACAAACATGGATGCTGGGTGTTCAGTTTCTTAGAGTGAATTAGCTGAGCTCTGCAGCTAGTTGCAGAGGGATGGCACACCGCATATATGATCCCTGTTTTAAAAAGAAAACAGTCTTATTCTTTAGAATATATAGATAACAGCATCCTAACGCAGCACAGGCACATGCAGTACACTGACGATAGTTAAAACATCTCGGTATTAAATGCCATAGATGAAAAATTAGAAAAAATCTTAAAAGGCTCCATAGGGATAATGAACAACAGAAGGTTGAGAAACACTAAGCAAAGCACATGATAGAAATTAGGGTGGGACTCGCTATCCAACTGATAAAAGACAAGTGCAAAAACTTACAATTTTTGCTGCCACCAGAAAAAAGACCACAGATAGGTTTTTTGTTTGTTTGTTTTTTGTTGTTGTTGCTAGGGATGGATTTCAAGGTTTTGAACATGCTAGGCAATACTCTGTTGCTTTGCTCACTGATCCCTAATCACCAGAAATGGATTTTATTTTGAGCACTAGGATAATAGGTATATAGGGAAATGTAGTGACTTCACTGATGTACATTTTGAAATAATAATATAGGTAGTTGGAATTTCACAGGCACACAGAGACAATGGCCTGAATTAAGAGAGCACCTGGGTTCAGTTCTCAGCACCCACAGGGCAACTCATGACAGT